CCTCAGGAACACCTTGAGCACTTTTCTTCAAATGTTCACTCGGCCTCCGTAATGAACTGATTTGGTTTCGCAGGTCCAAAGCTCGTCGGGACCTCAAAAAAAACCCCATGATTTTAAAAAATGGTTCAAAAAATTCTAACCATGAGAAATTTAACACAAATGGATGAAAAGTGATGACATTTTGACATTTTCCTGGCTGTTATTCAACTTTGTAACTCAGGGAGATGAAAAAGAGTTCACAGTTGGTTGGAGTTGGTGGAACTAATTTCAGGAGACCGTTTGGTTCTTTTACAGATCTTGTGTGTTGCAACAAAGCTTTGGTTACTTCTGACACGTTATATTGTGTCACCGCTGTGCCACCTGTTTATACCGATACAGTTGTGACTCGATAATCCGACTCTTAACAATCCTAAACCTTGCTATCCGACAGTTTTTTAGAAAAAACGAACGGAACCCATTAAAAACAGCCTTAACATACCGACAGCCTTGGACATGACATTTTATGTCACCAATCAGGATAACGGCGTATTATCTTACTGAACAATCCCACAGATTGGCTACGTTCAGACTGCAGGACTTAATGCTCAATTCGGATTTTTTGTGAAATCAGATTTTTTTTGCGAGTTCGTTCACATTTCCAATTAAATGCGACTTATATGTGATCTGCTGTGTGAACTTCATATGACCCAAAAGTATCCCGCATGTGCAGAAGAGGACACTATCCTAAACTAGCATCAGCAGCCAAGTACTGCCTGTGCGTTCTGGCCACTTCCACCCCGTCGGAGCGCTGCCCCGGGGTGGAAGTGTCACTGCGACCGCTCTGAATATTCAGATATTTCTCATTAATTGGGCCTGAATATCCAGAGACCAGAAAGTGCTATTGGGGCCAGCCCTACTAGTTATTATAACAACTATAAATAATGAATATTAACAACAAATGAGCCTTCAAACATCAAGCCCTCCTTGTATCTCGACCTCCGTCTTGACAATCCGACATAAAAGAAGGTTTTACATTTAGTGTCGGATCATCGAGTCACGACTGTATTTTTGTTCAATTTTTGTCAACAATCCTGACATTGGTTTAGTGTTGTGTGAAATTCTTGAGTGGATTTTGCTTACTGGCTTTCTGTCAATTTATCCACGTACATAGTGATGCCTGATATTAAAATTTGTGGCCGATACCGATAAAAATATCTGATATCGCCGATAACCGATATCACCGATATTCAATTTTTGTTCACGCCGAAAAATAAGTATAAGCGTGAGAACATGAAAACTATTCAAAAGAAGCCCAGGTTAGACCACATCATCTTCTTTATTTTCTAACAAAAGTAAAACATATTTAAACATATTTAAGTCAAGGACTATTTAAATAAAAACATCTGTGAAATAGCAGCAATATCAAATGTAAAGACGAAGGCACTGATGTCTGACAATCATCGGCTAAATTTGTTCATCGGACCGATAGCGATATATCAGAAAAAACACTAATATCGGCCGATGCCGAAGTGGTCGCCGATATATCGTGCATCCCTACATTCACAGTATGACTACACACATTCATACTTTCTGTTTGCAGGGTGTCCGAGACGGCTGCATATTTTATTTCTTATTGTGTGTACGTTTTTAAGAGATACCGATTGTGGGTAATCAAGAAGGACACGTAACAGATATCTGGAGTCGACATACATTAAGCTTTACAAATGACCAGCGTGATTATTACAGCTTCTTATGAGCTTATTTATGTTTCTCGCTGCAATCACACTCACCAATACAATCATAACTTCCATTTTAGCCAATAATACGCTTTAAAATCTTCACTGTATATTTAAGTATGGAAGGCCGTGAATGTAAACTGCAACTTGACCGGTTTGTTCAAGGTTTTTTTCCCCCCCGTGATGTGGTCCACCTGGTGATAGAGTGCACATTACTCCGATCCTTCACTGAATCTGGCCTACAATGTCCATATTGACGCACGCTAACAAAGGCTCCTCTCTGCCATGTGTACGTTTCTCTCCGGTGGCGGTGAAAAGCAGCAGATACGGTTACCTCTAATGAGGAAAGGACTTCACACCCCATTGGTCGTTCTGTCTACCTGGAATCCAGGCCACTGTGGCAGAAACGCAGCATAAATAGCCTCGGCGGGAAACTCGGGGCCGTCGAGGAGGCGAACGCAGGGGAGACGTCGGTCTGCTTTCTGAACAGCATGACAAATGACGTGCTGCTTGTTGCGCTTCCAGCAAATAATTGCAAGTTGCACGACACGGGCTTGCTTTGCCTGAAAACACGTGAAGGGCGCTCGGGCAGAAAAGGGCGGACGTGGTTTGCTGAGGAACAAAAGCAACAAGATGCCGTGAAGAACACTCGTTTGGCCAACACAAAGAGACTCGGCGCTGCTCCGCATGTGCCAGTTACAAATTGTTATTTGCACAGAATCAGTCGGCAGCCACTATCCTGAGCTCGCAGTCTGGACACGACTTCTTTAAGAGCGTAATGAAACGTGACAGAGACACTCTGGTCAACATAATAGGGTTTCTTCCCTCTCCTTGTAGCGGTTTATTAGAAAACAGGCCTGGTTAAGACAGATGTTTTTCCACAGTTCAAAGGCGCCTTTCAAAGGCAAAGCTATTTCCCCCATTGTCTGTTTTCCCACCGCAGCAGCTCGGCGGGTTGACACGAGGACACGGATCCTCGCCTGGAATCAAGAGGGCCACTCTCTGGGTCTCTGTGGAAATCACTCAGGCTCATGACAGCTCTGACTGACAGCCTGACTGCTGGGCTGACGTGGCTTTAATTTTTTATACCTTAATACCTTCTCAGCAGTTCACTGGGTTATACACTGGAAGAGCTGTTTCAAAAAATGCATTTAAAAAAATAAGAACTAAAGGAGAACATATGAATTGAACTCCATGACCTGCCAGCAGGTTTGGAAGCCAGTTTAATTTTATAAAATCATCAAAATGACATTAACCACAGAGAGAAACTATAAGAACAATTACAGGATTTTCCACTTTCTAATCATCCTTGAACTAATTCTTTGCGACATTCAGCTTTTAAACTACTGAAATACTTCATGTACAGCTGCAAACCAGTATACACTGTATAAAAATACATCTTTTTTTTTCTCTCACTGTCTGACATTAAATCAAACTAAACTTTTCCTGCTTTAGGTCAGTTGGGATTACCAACATTATTTCTATTTGCTAAACACCAGAATAATGACAGAGAGAATTTTTTAGAGATTATTTTACTACTTTCTGCAAAGTCACAAGCTTACAACCATTTTCTTAGTATTTGGTAGCGTTGCCTTTAACTGTACAATGTTTGGGTTTCCTTCCACAAGCTTCTCACGATAGTTTGATGAGTTCTGATCCATTCCTCCTGACAGAACCGGTGGAGCTGAGTCAGGTTTGTAAGCCGCCTTGCTCACACGCCTTCTCAGCTCTGGCCACACTTTGAAGAAAGTAGTAAAAAAAATCTCTCATTATTCTGGCGTTTAGCAAGTAGACATAATGTTGGTGATCCTAACTGACCTAAAACAGGAAAAGTTTAGTCTGATTTAATGTCAGACAGTGAGAAAAAAAAGAAGTTATGTGTGTTTTAAGCTGCAAGGTGGATCGGTGGTTAGCACCGTTGCCTCACAGCAAGAAGGTCGTCGGTTCGCGTCCCGGTGAGGACACCCGGGATCTTTCTGTGTGGAGTCTCCATGTTCTCCCCGTGCAGCGTGGGTTCTCTCCGGGTTCTCCGGGTGTCCCTTCACCCTGAGTCGGCTGGGATAGACTTCAGCCCCCCTCAATCCTAGTTAGGATTTAGTGGTGTATAGATAATGGATGGATGGATGGATGTGTCTTTCTATACAGTGTATGTAAACTTGTGGTTTTAACTCTTATTTTTTTTAAAAAGAAACAAAAATAGACCACTCACTCACCAGATTCTGTAAAAAAATGTAAAATTCTGGACTTCTCGGCACAGCAGTGAAGCCGTTACTGACTCGGCTGCAACTAACAGTCATATGGACAAAGTTCAGGGACTTTTCTGTTGCGCTGGGCTGCAGATTAATTAAAAAAAATGTAAGTAGTTAAATATCAAAAGCATGTAGAGTCACCATTTCTTTTTCTCCAGTTCTGGAAACACCTGTAGGCACATGCTGGTGACAGGTTTTTGCAGTTTTTGTAAAACGAATGATCAAAAAACTTCAATTTTTGTATTTATTTTTTAATAATTTATGCCATTATATCATTGTTTTGCTGCACAAAACATTTCTGAGTTCTCTCTACTACTAGCTATAGTTGTGCTGCTTCCATAAACATGCAGGACTTTATACTGCAGTGAAAAATGAGCTTAAAAGCCAATCACTTCCTGCTGCAGCGTTCAGATTCCCGGCCACGTCTTACATGCGTGTTTACTGCTAGTTTTGCTCTCACGGCGAGGACAGGCCTGCTTGGGGTTGATAGCTCAGCGTGATAAACAGCTAATTCCGTCTGAACGGGCATCAACATTTCCGTGCGGCGGATTACTTGTTGATGGTAAACCATTAGGACGGTGACTCACTGTCTCGCTGGGGATGTTGTTTTGTGTCTTTGAGGGAGGGCTGCTGCTGCTGCTGCCGCTAAAGAGCAAACTAACCATCCCATATAAGACGCCGGTGATGAACTTTGAGAGCCGTTGTTTCTTCCTGAACGCCTCAATCATCATCTGGAACGGCTCAAATAGGTATTAGCATTTAGATGAAAAGCGTATTAAAGTGGTTCCTGACGGCCTCTTCGGGGGGTCGTCCGCAGCTGATTGGCGATTGAAGCAGACGTGTCGGTGGATTTTTATATTAGCGCTGCTGCAGCCTTTTACAATCAGCTCTATTATATACTGATGGTTATCAACACCGTACGCTCCATAAGACAATCATGTACTTAATACACTGAGACTAAATGCTGACAATGAAACTAGCTCAGTCTGTTTTCATCTAACAAACACATTTTTTTTTCCTTTTTCTTTCTTTGCAGCTTTGGTGGTGAGATTTCTGACCAGACGCTTCATCTGGGAGTATGACCCAACACTTGGTAAGACCAGCAGATACTGGTTCACAAAACAAATGTTTGTCTTACTGCTGCCGCTGTTATTCTGCCTTCACGCAGCTTGCTGGTATTTTAACCCTCTGAACTCCAAGACGTTTTTCTCCTCTTGACACATTTTTTATTCCCTGTGGGTTCATTTTTCACTGAAATATTTAAGAAAATGGCCCAATCACAACTAGAATTAAAAAAATAAACATCTTCTGTGCATTAAAACTAATTACAATGACATATATTTAATAGAGAAAAAGTAAATGTTGAATTTCTTTGATTATTTATTTAACTAAATTAGAAAACCTGCGATCAACATGCACAATATTTTTTCCTACAGGTGTGAAAAAACAACAACAATGTGCTTCTCTACATACTACACATATTTACATATTTATTTTCATTTGTGTGTAAACACTGTCTGCAGTTCAGCCGAGAAGTCACAGAATTTTTGTAACTGTTGGTGGCAGCTGAGCCATTCGTGGCTTCATGTTTGCATCAAGAAGCACAGAATTTTATTGTTTTTTAACCGAATCCGGTTATGCAACAGCTTATTTTTGGCAAATTTTTTAAATCAGACTTGAAGGATGAAGTGAGTTCAATAGAATACGCGTTTGTGTTTCTAGCTGAAGCCAAAACTCACACATATCAAGCTCAAAAAACCTTCAATAGTTGAAAATTTAACAATTCTTTCCATTTTTTTTTTTACACTTTCTGGCTGTAATAAATAATATAACTCACCAACTAAAAGACAACATGACTTTCAGTGCTCTCAGGGAGTTTTAGGGTTCAGAGGGTTAATGAGTCATTAATTATCTTCTGCGGAAAAGCAAAAGCTGGAGGTGATCCAGTCCATTTTAATGTGAAGAGTCTTTTGGTTTCCCTCACCGGAGCATAATATAGACGTGGGCTTTTTAACACAGTGACGCTGGTTGAACCAGTTCTTTACTCTGTAATTACAGGGCACAAAGGCATCACGCTTCCTCTGTGAGGTGCCTTTCATTTCCTGGCTGTACATGGCAGGTCAGAGCCTCCGGATTGGTCGCATCATGCTCTTTTCAGTAGCGCATCAGTTTTCGGTGCAATCGCTGTTTATCATATTTGATGAAGCCTCCATGTACCGACATGATGATCACAATCTGTCTGCGTCACCTCTCAACACGTGGCTGTGAGGTTATGGAGATATCGCTGCTTTGTTTAATTAAAATTTTTGCATACATGACACTTTAAAATAGACCTCAGGTGTCTTTTAACATGTTGTGAGAAGCTTCAGACTGTGTTCGCTGTCCATGTGGTCAATCAAGACAGAAGCGATAGCTGCCTCCTACAAGAGTCGGCGTCTCAACCACAGGAGCACAAATCGACGTCCGGAATGGGAAAACAAGCAAACTGCGACCGTCGAAAATTACAGATCAAGTGGTCGAAACGTTATCAAAACACAATTATGGGCACAAGTACAGGGAAGCTGCTGGTCTGACGTTATTACTGCCAGAACACTGCATCCGTCTCAATATGCCTCTCAGTGGCTTCCGCTCACCATCCATCCTCTTTCATTATCTACCTATTTATTTGCATCGGGTTTAGAAAACAAGCTCGGATGTTGTTCCTCCGTGATGACAAACCGCCGGTGCTCGTGGGCCTGTCGGGAGACGGATCCCTTTCAGCGCGGGGCTCGACAATCGCCTAACGCGGGGAGTTTAGTCTTCGTAGGGATTCGTTCGGCTGACGGAGTGCGCCAGCTGATTAAGATGATCAGCGCAGATTTATTGCCGGAGCAGAAGTGTGCTCTACACCTCCCAAGGCAAACATCCAGAGCTGGCTGTGAGTGGATGTGCCAGCTGGAGAAATGAAAAACAACAATGCTTTGGAACGGCGCCGCTGTTTCTGAATTACCTCGAACCTACACTGGCATTTGTGAGCTGGATAACTGTTGGCAGACGTCACAATACATCAAATATATTTACAATACGCTAACACAGAGCAGATCCAGATCAGCTGTTAATAAGCATTTAGGACTTTTATGGCTTTTCTCTATTGGCTATTTTACCGATTAGTCAGTTCATCTAAATGACTGATTTTCCTCCAAACAAGCTAAATGACTCTTTCACGTAAGTTCATCTTATTTTGACAAACTGTCATTGTACTATGCAGCACAGCTGTTATATTAAAGTGCAAAACTATAGATTTAAACTTAAAAAAGGCTTAAGCAAAGTTTCTATTAAACCCCTTAAAACTAAAAAGTTCCGTCAGTGTATTACACAAACAGAAAAGGTGGATATTATACAAGCAAAACGCAGCTAAACAATCACCTTCTTATCATGAAAATGTTCTCTGACGTTGGTTTTAGGTTTGATTTGTATGAAAAAATGGCAAATTTGTACCATAGAGGTTGTTTTTAACTGGCGTGTATAGCGAGTTTTCATTGCGGTTATAAATTTAGGATGTTAGCGGTGCACAGCAGCAGTTAGGAAGTGACCAATGTTTGACAACAGAAACAGAAAAATATAGAAATAAGAATAGTTATATGGGAAGTCGACTGTATTTATATCAAGTATTTGTGAGCACAGAGAGCAGGAGAGAAGCAAACAGACATAAAAAGCCTCAACACCAAGCACCGGCTATGTTAGGAGGTGCTAAATTATGTCATCGAAACCACCTTTACGTTCTCTGGTAACTTCAAGGACTTCCATTTTTTGGAACACTTGGGTCTTTGGAAACTTTTGGTCTGAACTGAGTCGGACACATTTGTTATAATGAGCTGAATATAAAAAACAAAGCCAGTTGAAAGTATTGACATCAAGCTAATGGAGGTGTCTCACAGAACAAATTTACATTTTCTCTCGCTGACAGAACGGGAGCTCTTCCAAATCTCACCAAATATTTTCTACAAAGGAGAAAAATGTGTGTTAAAAACCTTCATTAGCAGCCTTATCCAGTCGCCTACCTGTCAGACACCCATCACTGAAGTGTGATATTCAGTGTACCTGCATCATAATAAATTAAAAAAAGACCAGGACAATGTGGGAGGGTAATAATTACCCTTGCACCAAGTCCATCTGCTGACGTATGCTCTTGGCTGCTAGCAGCAACATCCTGCGAGTGTGTCATCGGGTAATAAGATGACCGGTTGGATTTCACTCCCCGCTGCACTTTGGGGAACAGTCGCTGTGCAGAATACAGATGGCCACAATACTGCAATAGTTCCGTCTCTGCAAACCACCCAGCCGCACAATCTAATCTCCCTCAGCTCACAAAAATTAACATTGTGCTGCTTCGGCTGTGGTTTGGCACCACAATAGCAAATCTGCTTGTATTTTATCACGTCGCGCAGAGGAGGTTTTATATGAGACATTGTGGTGATATAAAGTTTTGTACAGCAAGTAAAGTAATTCTCTCTTGTAGCAGTGTCTCGAAACATGGATTTGACAAATCGACAAACTCGACTGTTTCCAGTTTTGACACACAATTTTTAAAAAAAGTGAAAATATGGCAGCAAGGGTGTCAGAAAAAATATACAAAAAAAAAATCAGTGGGATACTACAACTTTCAATGCTAAAAATGGTGAAAATAGTGGCAAATATCTGTTAAATAGTATTTTTAGATTATTTAAATACAGTAAAAAGTTGTTATTGTATGGCCACACACAAAAAAAAGAATTCATTAATATTTA